GCTTTGGCGGCGCTTCTGGCGTTGCTGACACCGGAAAATCCTCCTGCTGGAATCACCCTCTAACCCTCACCCTGGTGGTTTTGAAACTGTTCACTTCACATCCCCATCCTCCAAGCAACTAGCTTCCAAACAGTTTCTTTCACTTGACGTCTCAGTGCCCCAACACATAAGCCTTTAGCAGGATTCCTAGTTCCTGGCATGTCCCGGATTCACATCGTCGGTGGATTCGTCACGAGCTTCCCATCCCCCAGCCCGAAACACCCCTATCCGCCTCGCAGCGGCAGAAGTGGTAGACGCTGGCACAGCACCTGCATTACCGGTTTCAAGAAGCTCCAAAACTCAAAGAGCCGGCCATTCTATCATTGGCTTTAGAACCAATCTAGATATTATAACCAATGATAACTATATAAACCACTGGTTTTTGTTAACTCTCATCCCCAACCAACATTATAACCACTTAATTATAACCAAAAATCATGGAGTCACCAAAAATCATCGAATGGATGGCCTCCCAGATCTTCAGAGGCTAAGAGATTGGCGCACGCATAACGCCAAGCCTGAACGGACACGCATTGCTCGCAGCTCACGCAGCTTGGCGATCGTTAAAATTGACAAACCCAACGAAGATTTATGTGGATTTAAGTACTTGTGGATAGTCTACAGAATATACATTGTATTTAGTTATTCATCTGTAATGGATTATGGACTAGTTGATAGATGATTGGTTAATGATTGATAGATGACCCATCCATAAGTTATTTTCTCGATTTGGTATCACTTGATTATGGAGAAAAACAATGCCGGGAGATCTGACGAAAACAAAAAACATAGTATTGTTGCATACTACCAGATAGAATATTGAAAATTGAGTACTAAAGGCTAAACGCTCACAGATAGAATATTGTCATATGGCAGTGTGTCAAAACCTTGTACCCCTTCTGTTCACATCAAAATAGCTGGTAAATGGATGTTCATCCCACTAAAATGGTATTAATAGGTATTGATCCATACCCATATATCCCATTATATCCCCATAACTTTTTGTTTGCCCGTGACATTTCAATTTTTCCACTATGAATAGTGGTAACACCCCAAACTAAATTTCATTCACTAAAACCCGCCAAATGCATCCACATGCAGCACGTGGAGATTCATTGGGCTTAGCAAATTCTGCTTCTCGAAGGCGAGCTGTCCTAGCTGGGCCTCCACTGCGGCCCAGGGTTGAGCGCACGCGTCAAAGCTGATTTCGCTGTCTGCACAGCTTTGGGCATAACCTTGGGACCGGTGGAGATTTTGGGATGACCAGTTCAGTAGATGGGCTGGAGAAACCACAAAAAAACAAGCAAGTTACTGTTTTATGTATATAATATTATATATATATACATATATACATATATACATATATATATATACACATATGTATATACATATGTACATACATATATATATATATGTACATACATACATAACATAACATAACATAACATAACATAACATTCCATAACATAACATTCCATTCCATTCCATTTCATTCATTCATTCATTCATTCATTCATTTCATTCATTCACTCATTCATTCATGCATTCATTCATTCATTCATACAGACATACATACATACATACATACATATATACACGTGTATATATATATATACGTGTATGTATATATATATACGCATATATATATATGTGTATATGTATATGTATATGATGTATAATATGAATATATATGAATATATGTATGAGTTTATGTGTGTATATATATATACAATGGAATATCCCTTGAACTATGAAAATTACCACGTTGGATGTAATTGGGATCATGTTGGACTGGAGTGTTACAAGTTACCACTAAGCACCATGGGTCTGGGCATGCCTCGAATACATCGACAGCCTGAGTTTTCAGCTCGTTGAAAGTGCCCAGCGAGCAGCCTGCGGAGATTCGAACACATTTCAAGAGGCTAAACTCTAAGAATTGGATGCCAACGGACCTAAAAAAATTGGATTTCGTCAAAGGTAGAAAAGAAAAAAACAACACCTACTGTCCCGAAAAAAAAAGGCGGATATCCGGTTGCAAAGATAAAACTCACCTCAGCAAACCCAGGTCTGACCCGGATGGTTGGAAAATGTCCAATAAGTTATCTAATAAAATGCCGGTCATTTGGCAGTTTGCTATGGAAAATTGCCCATTTAGTCTGATGATTTAGCTATAAAAAGTAGTGATTTTCCAGTTCACAAACTACTCTGGGACGTGAAAGTCAGTGCATGTGTGAAACCGTTCAAATTTTGCACAGCAGAGCCGGCCACAAATGCCTACCCGGAGCTACATCACCACAGCCTGCCTAACTCTCCAAGGACCACGGGATACCATTCAGTGATATAAAAATTTTCAATATTACAAAAATAGGGGAAGCTAAAACGCCCGAAACACAAGGGAATACCCGCTGGTAATTTAACATAGCTATTGAAAATGGCCATTTATAGTGGATTTTCCCATTAAAAATTGTGATTTTTGATAGCTACGTTAAATTACCAGAGGGTAGCTACAACCATCTGCATGGTACCCATGAAAAACTCACGATTTTTGCCATCCATTGGAGAAACTGAGAAACATGATTTCAACACCACCTGGACGCAACATCGCGTGGCGACTTCCCAAAAAAATCTCCACCGGCCGGACGCACATTTCAATCATTTCATTGAAACGTATTGACATCCAGAACTCAGAGTCTTAAATTACCCTCTGGTTTCTACGTTTACATAACGAACTGGAAAGATCCACCATGCTATGAAAATGGATAAATCCACTATTTCGACTGGGCCATGGCTTCAATAGCAAACTGTTGACATAACCAGAGGGTACCATTTAACCGCCATCCATCTCTGTGGATTTTGCCAAGATGCCTCTAGGAGGGGAACCTCCACGGAGTCCACGACTTGGAAGCAATGGAACCATGGCAGGCAGAGAATCCAGCGTGACGCCAGGATCATGTGACGTTTTTCAAGCGGGACCCGAAAAAAGATTCAATGAGTGATTTTTATAGACCATGTATAGCTGGGGTATATCCCACACATAGATACAGATATAGGAATAACTGGGCTACAATTCTGGTTATCGCAGACTGACTGGAATGCTGACTGGAACGCACGTCCACGTACCCCACTTTACATATTTAAGATGTGTTTTGCGCAGACGCAGTTCGAATGACTTGCGGACATTCCTTAAAATGGCACCCCTTTGTGATCTTGTTGTATGAGTTGGGGCCGGGCAAAACAAACATCAAACGATTCCGGAGTTGACTTTTGACATTGTCATGTCATTGTCGTATGCCGAACGCGCCCCGAAAAATGGACGTGCACTTTTGCAAACATGGAAATGCGCAGCAGATTCGATCGCCAAATTTCACACTTTTCGGCAGCAGACTATGATATATAGTTAGAAGTCAACAACAGAAGATAGTAATTAGAAGTAATGATACAGTAATAAAAGTTTGATGCATTCATAAAAGTCACCAATGATACTTTGAACAAGGGAACCAAAAATTGTGGAATCAAATTTCGAGTCACTGATCTCCATGAGAAAGCCCGCCACAATCTAGCAAGATACTTCGAGAATCGATGTAAAACATTGTAAAACATTGTAAAAGCATGCACTATCAACTTCAAAAAGTATGTCCATGCGTGGTGTCCAAACTCTTCAATTCCATTCATCTCCAAAGCCTGTTGGGTCGTTGGAATCCAAACATTGGAATTTTCGTGGTAAAATCAAACCACCTTAGAAATTGTTCATGGTTTCTGTGAAATACCATCTGGTTATGACTAACAGTTTGCCATGGAAGAAAATCACCATGCTATTAACTTCGGTAAACCCCAGTAAACCATCTATTTCTATGGGCCATGGCTTAACCATGGCGAACTGTGAATGTCATAACCAGAGGGTAAACCATCCCTGAAGTACGGTGTCTGAGGGATGAAACCACAAAAAACGAACTGGAAAGATCCACCATGTTTAATGGGAAACCTCACTATTTCGACTGGGCCATGTTCAATGGAAGCAACTGTTAGTCATTGCCAGAGGGTTTCACCATTTTGGGGCTGTTTAGTACTAGGGGGTCCAACCGTCCAGGTGTGGAAAATTTGGAGGGATGGGTGCAAGGTGGGGCCCCCGTTCGATAGGTCAGTTGGTGCCAATAACTCCAATAACGATGGCCTATTGGGAGATATAACTATAGTTGATGGGTTTTAAAAACAACTTACCATCTGGTTATTTAACATAGCCATGGAAAATCACCATTTTAAATAGGTAAACCCAGGTAAACCATCTATAAATGGGCCATTTTCCATGGCTATGTTAAATAACCAGAGGGTAGAATTGGAGGGGCACCACCTTGCATCTTCTTGTGCGCTGAAATTCAAGATGCTATGGACTTTTAGGTCCTGTCACGCATCTATCTTTCTGGTTGGATGGGAAATTGAACCAAAGGATTCTGACCACCCGTTCCGCGCTAAATTTCGAAATCTACAGCCTCCTATTTCGTAACCAAATTACAGCAAATTAAAGAAAATATAGAAAATAGTACTGTAGTTCATTCAAACGTAATTTCCAATATGTGTTTAAGAAAATAGAATATGGTTTCGATTGTTTAGATTGTTTCAAAATATGAAGATCCAAATATCACAATCAAATTAAGATAGTGTCCCTGTATAGTTCCCCATCTTATCCTCCATATTTTCAGATTTATATCGGTCTTTCTGCTCTTTTCGTAAATAAGATCAAATCGATAAATATAATATAAAGATATACCGTAGTGTGCATATATATATATATATATTCCTAAATTTGTTTGTGTATATATATATATGTATATATTCCTAAATACATATCTTCTACATATATATATATATACATATGATCATATGTCACATAATGATTATATCTACAATATATATATATATGCACATCATGATTGACATTTTCATTCAATTTTGAAGGATTCGGGGTGAAACCGGTGTGCAGTGTGCTGAGACAAACACTTTCCATATGTTTCCATAGAATTCTTGTCGTTGAATTGCAAAACATAAATTCAAAGAGATGGCACAATGCATGGCCTGCGGATGCTTCAGGATATTTTCCGACGGCTCATTCGCCACCAACCTGTGGTTGAATAAGCAAAGCAGCAGATTCTTCCAGGGGTTGGTAAATGTCCTATTTTTTTACATCACCTCAATATCGGGGACATAATCTTCAACAGATACCTGTTTATACCTGTTTTAGTGACGTTTTCAACAAATCCTGTCTTCACTTGCCACTTGCGTCGTACGAGTCCTCCAGGCATCGTGGGGCACCTCCTTCTTCAATTGATCCAAACGCTTCTGGATCCGAGCTTGGCGAGTATCCTGGCAGCACTGAGATTCCTGCCACTGCCACTGCACCATGCTGCACGCGAAGAAAAACAGACCGCGCCTTGCCACTCAAGCCTTTCCGCAGTTGCTTCCGGACGCTGACCTTTTGCCAATTTTATCACAACTCCTCACCCACTCTGTGCTACTTGGTGCGACTTGGTGCTAGAGTTCCATTCATATCATCCATTTTTGCGCACAGAAATTCACAGCTGAAAACATCCAGGATCCACCTGCCAATTCCTGGGCACGCCATGGGGTGTTATGGCCTCGTCAAAGCAGCTCCGAAATTTGACGACATTTCCCTCTGACATCGTCCCCAGATTCCCCAGGCCTCGTCAGCTTTCTTACTGTCCGCTGTTTTCAGGGTGGCCGACCTGACACGTTCGTCCAAGCAGAACACGAACTGCAAGTGATGTGTTGCAAAAAATTGCAGGACACAGTCCACAACATGTCACAACTTGTCACAGCTTCCAAAACTCATTGTTCGGCCTTGCAAAGCCACCCGAGCCAAATGAGGAGGCCTAAAAAAAAGACAGGGCCCAAAATGACCACAGATTTTCCACAGTGACTGTGGCTGGATCTTCATCCCCACAGAGATCGGCCTTCTTTGCGCCTCCAACGGCTTCTTGTTGTGCTGCTTGCGCTGCAGCAAACCTGCCATGAACATGATGTAAATCAAGGGGTTGATATAGTGTTCAATCATCCAAAATAGATGGCTGAAGTTATTGCACGACGTTCGTGAATACTTTGGTTTTTGAGATAATTAAACCATCGAATTATACGTGGTTGCTCTGACACAGTCTGGTCACATAGCTGCAAGCTGCACTGAGACACTTAGGAAGAGACTTCCGCAGGTTTTCTGCAGTCAGCTTGGCAATCATGATGTTCGATGTCTGCAGAAAAGGCATGACAAACGAAGAAACGACTACATGTGGAGGTGTCCTAAAATTTAAAGTGGGGGTACCCCTAGTTATCATCCATTTATATCCATTTATAATAGGACTTTCCATTCTAAACCATCCAGCTATTGGGTACACCCATTTATGGAAACCCCCATGTTGACACCTCAACGAAAAGGATCAAGCGCCTGGGAATGGGTCGTCAAATCACGACTGAGGGCCCCACATCCAGCTTTCCGCTGCGACCCCTGCTGGTCAGTCGTGTCCTTGCACGGATCTCAAACTTACCATAGCCTTAGAGTAGGTGTTCTCAAGGGGAAATTCCCGCAATTGTCAAGATCTTCCAAATATTCGACAATACTAAGCATACTCCGTTGATACAACTTTTTTCCAGTCCTGTCTTTTGCCTTGGCCGTTTGCAAGGCACGAGTTGGATCTTCTGGAGGCCTAGAGCGGAATTCGAACATCAAGGAACGTCAGGACTTTGCTCATTTGGAAAATTCAAAATTTCAAATTTCGATAGATTTCAACAGATTTCAACAGAGGATTTCAACAGATTTCAATGAGGACACCATCTTAGGGCCCAGCTTCTTCTTGCTCAATGCAACAGCCTTCTCCATGGTGGATGGCACACCCTGCCGTGGACAGCTCAGAATTTCACTCGGTGAACGTCAGGAATGGATGGGAATGATCATAACATAACTACTGTGGATGGCTGCGAAATCCTGCGCCAGTTGATAGATGGTAAACATCCCATTTATCCGCTTATCCCATGATTTGTAGGCGTTCAACCGTGCAAGATGGTGGTGCAGGATTTCGCAACCATCCACAGTAGAACTAACTATTCAAAAATTTACATTCCCCCATTTATACGTTAACAGTGGATCAACCATTATATGATTTATCACCGGATCTACCTTATTCTCAGACCTTGCAAAACCCCTTTCCCCATTGGAAACGCTAGTTTTAACAAGCCTTGACCAAACTATCATGGTTCTATTCTTTTTGATCGAATCCCATCGGAACGCCGGTTTCCAACGGGCCTTTTTTCGTGGGCACTGTTGACGCCCACAAACAAAAACGCGAAGCAGGCCCTTTTCCTAGTTTGTATACTGCAGGATGGGTTCTGATAAAGGAAAAACGAGGTCCAAAACGAGGTCCAAAACGAGGTCAAAACGAGGTACGGAAAAAGCCCCGCATCTACACACATGGACTTTGGCCCGCAAGCCGCAAACCTGCCCTTCCTTGGATCACTGGTAGCGAAACAATGACAATTTGCAGAATTCCAGCACACCGCCATGGCAGTGTAGAGATGATAATCCCAGCGTTGTGTAGAAGTACCCGGAAACAGCAACAGCAGCAGCCGTCGAACCAGCAGCCGCACCCCAGTAGCTGCAGAACCCAACAGCAACCATCCCAAACACAATGAGAACGCAACTAGCAAGATTAAAGCACTATGCTAATAGTAAAACAACGCCCTACCCCAAACACAACCTAAACGCCGCTTCGCCACTTTAGGTCTACATGAGATAGTAAAACAGCAACCTACCCTAAACACAAGCTAAACGCCGCATCGCCACGACTTCCACAAAAGCCTTCCCCCAAGCTAATTTCAAGATTTTTGGGATTTCGCCACGACTTGGGTAGTTGGGAGTAGGCGTTCAACCGTCCAAGAGTAGAACTAACTATTCAAAAATGTCCATTCCCCCATTTATACGTTAACAGTGGATCAACCATTATATGATTTATCACCGGATCTACCTTATTCTCAGATGACTCAGATATCTCAGCAATAGGTTTATCATGGTTTATCTGAAAAGGTCTCCCATTCCATCCACTGCTTAATCATCATCATTCCGAAAAAAGTCCCGATGAAACTGGCCACAAAAAAGGGGGGTGAGTCACTCCATTTTCAGACACACAAAAAATGTGAAAAACCGTGACGTCCTCATGAAAAAATTCGTGACTCCAACTTTCCTGCAAATCACCAACCTGCGGCTGCAACTTCGAGAGTTCTTCCTCAGCCAATTCATGATGTCTGGCCAAGATTGTTCCTCTGATGTCATCTGAGCCAAGGGCTTTGGACAAAGCCTCAAACGCCTTTGTCAGATCCCCCTGCGCAGATTCGCAAAATTTCTCAGATCCGTTTTCGAAAAGTGAAGCTTTGGTTCTGCGCCTTTGGTGCCAGTGTTGGGAAGAGCTTCTTGAGCACAGAAACTGGCACATGTTGAACCATGGTTGCTGGTTGCTGCATGTTGTTACCATGTTACCAGTAAAAACAGGAGTGGTTCCTTGGAAAAAATGTCCCTACAACAAATGCTCGCCTTGGTCAAAGAAGACAAGCCACGATCGGTCCTGTTCTTGGGCTCCCGCATCACCTGAAGAATCGACAGACCGAATGTGGAAAGGCTATGCTTCGCCAAAAAAAAAAACAAAGGGCTTCTAAGTAGAACTACCACAAAGTTGGCCCTTTGACCTTCGATTCCCCAATGTTTTTGGTGCCACATCTGACACATGTTCTCACAACTGTGGAAGCCTTGTGAATTTTGCTCTCATCATACGTGGGTGGGGTATGGTGGGGTGGGATGTCAAAGTTGGACGCTACCGCTCACACCGCAACTTTCAACGCTTGGGAAGACGTCGTTGGTCCACTCAAGGAGTGAATGGACTCGGAAGGTGCGAGGAATTGATCGCTGTTGGAACCAAGTTAATGATGGTTAATCATGGTTAATGTTGGATTCAGAAGAACCGCACCTGACCGACCCTGAATGGTAGATTCTGGGACAGAATCTACCGATCTTCAGACACAATTTGGTAGACAACTGAGCGGCAACATGATATGAGATGAAAAAGGCGGCTGAAACTGTTCGTCGTCCAGTGATCCAAACACGTTCATTCAAGAAGTGGCAAAATGTGAAGCGTTTACGTACATTGACGTCAAAAAACACACGGTTGCGACGGTCCATGGCCTTCTTCTCCACCAGGAGAAGCCTGAAACAAAGCATTGCAGCTCAGGATAAATCCAATATGAAAAAACTGGAGATGAACGGATATCAATGGCAATTTCTTGAAATGGGGAGTCCCATTTCGTCGTCACCATGGGCTTCAATACCAGTCGTCATGCTCATGACGACTGGATGGTCGACCGGGGTACCCCCATGACTTAGGAAACCCCCAAATGGAATCAAATGGATATAATTATCCCACATCCACTTTGTAAAAGGATATAACAATGTATGTAAATTGGATTTAGAATGGATATGATTCGTTTTTTTTTGCACATGGATATAAATTTCTGAGGATTTTCACAGAAACAGCCACGAAGACCCAAAAAAGTCCATGTCCCACCTCCGCTCCATCGGCGCCATCCTCTGGGGTTTCAGGATCGCCCTCAATCGCTGGATCTTCGGCTCCCATGGACCTGCGGATGTTTAGTATGACAAAGTGGGGAAATTTGGGATTTTCTCGGATATTCCATGGAAAAATCAGGGTTACCATTGGGTTTTGGAATATCTTGTGGACGTTGCTGCAACGAAAATATCAAATATGCCGTGAAACCTAAACCTCTGGATCACCAAACAAGCCACAGTGTGAATTGTCAAAGTGAACCAAATGTTAATCTCTGCAATGCTTGTGTGCCGGGATGGATTGAGGGACAAGCAACAAATACATGGGGCAGAACCTAACCTAGGATGATGATTTTCGTCGTCATGGTTCTGTTCATGTATGTTCATGTCAGATGTTGAAGACTGACAGTAACAAAAGTAATGAAGGCAATGTTGATGGTGATCATCAGTGCAATCACTCTCTTCGTCGTCTCACAAAGCTGATCCCGTCACTTTCTGTTCTTTTGAAGGACCAAAACAACGAAAACACGGAACAAGCTATTTCAGAAATGCACACACAACAAGAACAGAAGTTTTTTCGGAATTTCTATTTTAAAAAAATCTCAGCATGTTAGAACCATTATGTTAGAACCATTATGTTAGAACCATTCCGATCCCATTCCATCCCATTCCCTAAGGGACTGACATGCAAATCGCACAAAAGGACGAGGCAGTGGACAGGAGAAGCTTGGGTGTCTCATCCTGCGATCTGCGATCTGCGACCCCCGGTAGTTTTGTGCGCCGGTGTCATGTTGGGGTTTCCTACGAAATCATCCAACATCTGTGCGAAATGAGTGATGTTTGGTGGGTTTCACATATTTTTATTCTCTAAACCCGAAACTCTGGGCAGCGTTCAAAATGTTCAAAACCCGCAATGTCGTTTCATGAAATACTGCTTGGTCAATAAGGACTCCACTGGGCAATAATCCTCAATATGGCTAGTAGAATCTCCTGGAACTATATAATCATCAACCAGTTAATGGTGAATACTGGTTAACAATGGTTAATAACTAGTCATATTAACATCGATTCAACATGGTTTTGATGCAGCTGTCCTGCTCCAATTTGATCACCGGCTTCGGCGTGGTTCCCTCACCATCCTGCGACCAGAACAGTCTGGGGCAAAGCGACGACTCGGCAAGTCCAAACACCGGTGCTTGAGCCAAGCAATTGAAGAATATGAAAGTCAATCATGCAAAACGACATATACAATCAATATATATATATATATATGCTATCCCCCCCCAAGATCTACCATGTTTTGGGTTTTCTAGCTGTGTTGACAGTTTGCGCACGGTTTCAGCCAGAAGAAAACATAGGTGTTGTCACTACTTGTCCCTGGTAAATATTCAGAATCTCAGACAGACAGAAACATTTGCCTTGTGAAAGAGAAGTGAAGCAGAGCATTTTTCCCCAGACGCAGATGATTAGGCGATGATGTCGCGCATGTAAGCAGACACCAGCTGCCCTGTGCAGGCCCATAGATCGCGGTTGCGGTTCCAGTACTCATACTGAGCAGACCGGATCTGGGCATAAAGTAAGGAGCTGCCCACCTTTGTGAGTTGATTTAAGCGCAAGCGATCCTTAATGAACCTCCACGTTCGATCAATGATCTGGGTTCCTGCCTTGACATGAAGCTTCTTACCACACGGAAGTTTGTGTGTAGTCAGCTTCACAATGTGTTGAAGAGTGTTGTAGAGAATGCTGGATTGATATCTTGGCAGCCTTTGGGTCCATCGATTGCAAACGTTTGCAAGCGGTGTCTGTGATGCATGTTGATCTAAGGACTAGGTACTTAGAGCAGCTTTGTCGCCACAAGCGTTAGCAAACGTTTGCAAACGAGACTGGGCTGGATTCAAGATTCAAGATTCAAGATATATGGTATAGATATATGTTTTATAGTTATGTCCACCCCCTCTCAAATCTACCTTAAAAAAGGTAGATCTTTGGGGGGGGTACCATATAATTATATATGTACTATATATATAATTATATATATATATATGTATACATATAGTATAGATAGATACATGTGTATATATATATATAATGCATGATTCACGCAAAATACGGCTCTTCACAATGCTGAACATATAGGAAAAAACTTGAAACCAACAAACTGTTCATGAATTGCCCCCATCCTTGTCTTCCGCTGTCTCCGTGGTTTTGGGTTCTTGCGGCGAGCCTTGCCACTGCGATGGAATCTGCGGAAAATGAGGCTGGATAAACTCATGGGATGGAATGGGGTGACAATGTTGACACCTGGAAGAAAGACAACTAGACATAATATATATATATATAATAAATATATAATATAATATTATATATATATATGGTGTATATATATATAGTACATATCTATAGTATAACCAACATCTCCCGAAATGTTTCCTGAAATGTCTGAGTCTCGAGCTCTCGCAGGTCATTCTGGCTATCTGGCAGATCAGAGTTCAGCCCTGCTCCCATGGCCCGAAAATTTCTGGCACCTTGCAGCCCCTCTTGATGTCCCAGAGCCGAAGGCTGCCTGCCGCGCCCGGCCAACGTGACGGTGTGGTCGCTCAATTTCACAGATTTCACAGATGGACTCCGAAAAAATCATCCATGTTTTCACAGGTTTTTCGATGAAATCAACATAAATCAACCATCCAGCGAGCTTGGGGGATCCACCATTTATGGTTCAACCCAAATTTTTTTGGGATTAAATTTCACTGGTTGCTCCACAAATATTCACAAATGGGATGATCCGAATAATTCGGGGGTGAGAGGACTTGCTTTCCACTCTGATGTGCTTCTCCGAACACTTTCTGACAGGACCCCAGAAACCGTGCCTTCTGAATCGAGCGTCATAGCAAGTGACATGGCTTGACATGCAGAAGCACCCAAAACCTGAGCGACATTGCGAAGTTCTCATGTTTCACCACTGCATTGCTGCTTCCTTTTCCCGTCTTTTCACTTTTCACATTTATTTTACTAATCCCATCGCCCTAATACCCCCCAAAAAAAATCCCGAAACCATGGTCTAGTAGGGCATTTACACATATATAGAACATTAGGGGGATGGGACTAGGTCTGCATACTCATTGACAAGAAGTTCAGGGCTCAAACGACCACCGGCTCTGGTGGGGGTGAAGACAAATGTCGCGCCAGCAACTGGCAGTGATGGCTTGGGCATGGCCCAGTGAAAGATGCACGGTTAAAAGCATGCAAGGAAAACGGTGTCTGTTTGCATGCAGTACTGGTGGACAAAACCTGAGGCTGCAACTTGAGACATCCAGCAGAATTGAACACTGAAAACCAGAACGGGGGACCCGAGGATGCAATGATGGGAAAGTGCCATTAATCTCTGCACCCTCCATTATATAGATCAGTATATGTCAATGTGAATTATACATGAAGTATACCCTCTGGTAATGACTAACATAACGAACTGGAAAATCACCACCATTTTTCATGGGAAATTAAAGGAACTCAATGGTGGGTGGATCTTTTCCATCGGTTTTTGTTAGTCATTACCAGAGGGTATATGTATTTCATCATCGTTCAGGCCCCCTCTTTACCCTACCGGCTTCCTAGCCGCCTAGCCGTCTGAGCTGATTCCAAAAAATGATTCGGCGGAGACTTTCGGCGTCTCAGAATGCGACAGTCTGCACCCACAGAGACCAGGATCTTATCCTGAAGGATCAACGTCTTTGTTGATGCCTTCCATACTGTGGATGGGCCAGCGAAATCCGAATCACCAGTTGATAGGTGGTAAACATCCCATTATTTACAGGGTTTTACCATTCAAGGTGGTGCAGGATTTTGCAACCATCCTCCGTATGTTTACTTGATTCACATGCCACAAAAAAATGATGTGGCGAAATTGGGGACAGCCGATTTGGGATTTTCTCAGATAGTGAACCATAGTGGTGAATAGTGGTTAATCCACCCAAATAGTAGTGTCACCTTAATACTAATAATATTGGTAAAACTGTAAAACAGAAATAAACCATCCCCCAAATCACCATAAATAGGTGGTATGGTTACCATTCCCAATGGGTGGTAAAAATGACATTGTTTTACCCCACATTGATTTCTGAAAAGTTCACCCCTGCGGCCCAGTTTTGAATGTTTTTGAGCTGCCCGGCTCGATGGAAGGTCAACGCATTGATGGCTCCGTAGTGCCCTGGCAGCATCGTTCGTAGGCTCGGCCCTGCAGCCGTGTTCACCTTGTGAGAACAGCTGGGATGAAAAACCCTGGGAATGTCCAGAATTTGTGGGTCTATACCAATGATTATATATATATACATATGTATAATTAGTCCAAAAAATTCGAGCTATCAATGTAAGACATAAACTACAAGAAATTGCGGTGTGCCACTGTCCCTGCGAGAAATGTAGAACCCACAGTGGAAAATGGCAGCAAACCTACTCCACTCGCCTAAAAAAGGAATTGTTCATATGTATAATTATGTGTTTATCTATATATATATATATATATAGATATGAATACATAATCTATGCAAATATGTTGTAATGATGACAAAAATACATCCTCCAAAAAATCGTGGATATGTATATATATATATATATATGATACGTGTATGCATGTGTGTATATATATATATATTATGTGTGTGTGTGCTCACCAGGGCCTCTATATGGATAAGAGATGATCATACCCTCTGGTAATTTAATATAGCTATTGAAAATGACCATAGAAATAGTTGATTTACCCAGCTATAACATGGTGGATCTTTCCAGTTCGATATGTACACGTTTACCAGAGGGTAAATCACCATTAATCACCATTAATCACCATTAGTCACCATTAATCACCATTAATTATCATTATCAACCACTATTAATCACTATTCATCACTATTACAAGAGGGTAAACCTCCATTTTCCCATGGTGTTCCTATGGTTTTCCCATGAAAACCTCCATTTTCCCATGGTTTTCCTATGGTGGATTTGATGACCACGGCAGGATCCTTAAAAAAAATCACCCGCCGGGTGGCCAAAGCGAGCGATCCCTGGCATCCTCCGACAGCCTTGGCGAAGTTGCTGCCAAGAACTCCAAGAACTGTGCTTTGTAGATGTAGAATGAAATATAATGATATATACAAGTATATAATGATATATATAATGATATATAATGATATATATAATGATATATAATGATATATAATGATATATACACTCAACTATGGTTTACAAAATGTTTACAAATGTTTATACATGTAAAGGTAGCAAAGGATGTATAGTTCACATAACCTGGCTGAGTTGACGGCGAAGATCCCGCCATTTGGAGCCACAGCCACTGCACTCGTCTGAAGCGGTGGCTTGCGTCGACTTCTGGGAGTTGCCATGGGGCCATGGGGATTCCCCAATAGCTGGATGGTTAAGGGAAAATCCAGCTACATAGTGGTGCCCCATAGATAGCTAAGTTGGTTTATATCTCCAAAAACTAGGACTTATGGTAGATATATCTATAATTGATGGGGTTATAAACAAACTTATAAAATGGATGATGACTAGGGGTACCAAATTGAAATCTCATGATGCAATCAATCCTAAAAACTTCCAGCTGCAGCATCTGAAGATATTTTTTGTGTGCCTTCGCTGGCATGCTCCATCTTCTCCTGGTGGCGACGAAACACGCCAATTGTTCTTTCGAGTTGGGCATCTGTCTGAAACACCAAAGGCCATTAAATCAATGGAGATTCGTTTTACGCGATGATACATATGTATATATGACATATATATATATGATATATACAGTAATATATATACAATATACAATATACAATATACAATATACAAGATATGATATGATATGATAATAATATAATATTATATATTATACAATACAATATAATATAATATAATAAAATGATATAATATAATATAATAGAGTATAATATAATAATATAATATTATATAATAATAAAATATAATAATATAGTATTATATAATATAATATAATATAATATTATAAATATTATATTATATTATATACAACAGAAACCAATGGATCTGCAGGGTTGACAGCAGATACTGCTTCTCCTTGGCTGAAGCTGCTTGGTCTCAGGATCAGGGAGAAGGCCATGCGGGGGGATTTCCTTCGAAAGCCGTGTGCGAAAGCCGTGGAATCGCTGCGATTCATATCATGAAATATCACTGGAGTGCTGGGAAAACTTGACAGCCCTGTAGGTGTTCTGTTCCCTTAACCAGCTCTAAGAAAATGTGAAGCAAAGAAAGTGTAATTAGCCACTGCAATTTTCAGCAACCTGACCTTCATCAGAAGCTCATCCAGCTCCAAACCTAGCAGATGATCTTGAAATCGGCTCGTTAAGAAAAGCCTCCCACGTTTCTCGAAAGCTTCATCTCAGCACCATGCCAGTCGGAGCCACCAGAGGGGCTGGTGATGGGATGCTGAGCGGCAAAGCGCAACACATGCGCACTGTCATGAAAAGTTAACATCAACAAAAGCAATACCTGCGCTGTGGGAACACCGAGCTAGGTTCAAGACAAGTGCGCGAGAATTGCGTTCGATTCTACAGAAGAGGCAAAACACAAAGTCGGCACCTGCAACAGTGGATCACAGATCCGAAGAAACCTTCCAATGACGTCAACGAGGGCAATGTCCCAGGCTTTCAACAAAAATATGGCTGTGGCGGCCATTTTTGTAGGGCACCATCCAATCGTCCCACACTTGAACGGTATTGATATCATTTTTTGATATGTCTTGGATATCTTGGATCTGAAACCATCCAGAAATCTGGGGGAACATCGTTTTGGGCACCTGCCCAGCCGAAACTCCCATGCCATATGCACCATCGCGCGGTCGAGGCGAGAAGACCTAGCACAAATGCCAGAAAGCTTCAATATACTGTCCATGTGTACATATATTACTATAGTGCACATAGTGCATACACATTTTTTATACACACTATATTATATATATATATATATTACATATATATATATATATTATATATATATATGTAATATGTAAATATATATATATATAATATGTATACATATACATTTATATATATTATTTATATATATATAATATGTATATATATATATATTATCATATTATATACATACATCATAGACAGCTAGTGTAGTTATCTTTTCACCAGGCCGTCAAGGTGATCGTGTCGAGCTCTGGCATTGGCAAGTGCCGCATGGGAGCCTCAACGGGAGGCTAAAATCTCTGGGAAAATCCATGGAAGTCTATGGATTCAGCTGGTAAAATCCATGAAAAATCTGGAAAAAAATCTGGAAAAAATCTGGAAAATTGGGGGTAGCATTTTTTGGAGAATCATTGGAAAATCCTTGGAAAATCGATGGATTCTGTGTCATTCCCAGTTTATGGATGCTGATTTTTGCCCAAGTGGTGTATAACCTCGAACTAATCAATCAGCACTGAGGAGATCACCAACTGAGTCAGCGAGAAGCTATACATCTGGCAGGATTTCGGCTCTGATTTTTTCTCCCAAATCATGTGATTTTGCTGTGGGCACCAGGATCACTTGGACATTGGCTTCTGGATCACTTGAACATGGGGGATCACTTAGACCACTTAGAGCTTTTTTGCTTCACTTGAACATGGGATTCCGGATCACTTGAACATTACTTGGACACCCCTCACACCTTTAGGGTTTGATACTTAGGGGAAAGGGGGGCGGGGACATGGGGGCATTGGGCATGGGGACATGGGGACATTGGGGAAGGGGGGTAAGACAACAGCAACATGTTCCGTGGACCCTGTCTCAAAGTCGTCACAAACGTTATTAGCCCCCCCTCTGTTGAGCATAAGCGAGCATGTGCAACATGTCAAGAACGGCAGATGAGCGAAAATGGCCCACGTTCAAGCGATCCAAAATCCCACGCACAAGCGAGAAAAACTCCAATGTTCAAGCGAACCCCCGCCCTGAATGTGTTTCCACTGACCCAAACGAAGCTTGCCAGCAGTACTGCTGTATTCACTTGCAAAGCATTGGCAAATTCCTGCAGCTCAAGGATCTCGAAGCATAGGTTCAAGAGTGGGAGCTTTTCAGAAGGTCAAAACAGGCACCCCCTGGTTTTAATGGGAAAATCATGGACCCAAATGGGGGATTCTCAAATTGCAATGATTTCCAGAGGGTAGAATTATTTGAAGCTGGAAAGCGAAGAGTTTCCTCGAGGCCTCTGCCAAACTCAATAGGCTTCCAGCGAAGGAAGGGCAGGAAGGGTCTGTCCTCAGCCGGCCCTCCATCTTCGTCTTCACCCTCAGCAACGAATGTAGCAAGATATTGTCGTGTCAGATTTCGTAGCTGCGTCCAGTAGAATCAGCATTTTCTATTGGCAATCTTCACCCAAACTTGAGTCTCAAAGGTTGATCGACAGCAGTAAGGTAAACATAGAAAGCCACAGAAATTTCACGGCGGAGAAAGTTGAGTCAGAGGGAACCCCTCACCTGTCTGACAGGGGGAAATCGAGCCCAGGGACCCACAGCACGGAGGCACCGGAGGCACGGGGGGCCCACCAAGCCTCCTCATCATCTTCGTCACCTTCTGCAATGGGCGTGTCCAGCACCACATTCGCCTCCAAAAAAAACGGCTGATCACTGACTATGTCATAGTATTAAATGAATCGAAAGCCATCAATATCCTGGTTCTCCCATCGAAATGATGCAGAAAGTAGCTGGTTGCCAGTTGTTTTTTCATGGATACTCATCCTCCATATCCTCATGGCCCCATCTCGGATCCTCCTCATCCAGGTCGGGTTCCCCCAGTGGAGTCAGGTAGACACCTCGGGGGTCGTCGGACTTCGTCGGTTTCTTGGGGAATCGGTCCACAGAGGGGGATCCTTGGGCCCTTGCGCACGGTCTTGTCGGGCAAGAGCGCAAGAACCTGAGCCAATGTCTTTCAGTCATGTGAGGTTCGAGTCGATTAGATCCCATCCCCTAGAAATCTCAAAGCCACCCTAAATTGTCCCATTAAATCTATATATTATCATTATTATTATCATTATTATTATCATCAATTATTATAAGTATGATTATTGCTACAGTATCATTGTTATTGTTATTAATATTATCATTATTATCATCATTGCTATTATAGATTCACATATACATGAATTCCCTCCTAAGCCATGGCTTCTGGGAGGTATTTAAGATTACGGGAGGATTAATTACATCGGTTGCTAAGACCTCGCCAGAAGTCTGCCAGCGTCAAAAGTGAAGAAATTTGAACATAGGTGTAAGGAGTGACTCATTGAAGTGTGGTGTGCCAGCACATGTCATTGTTTTTCTCAAGAACATTGCAGGCTTTTTGTACTTGGATTTGCTTGAGGAACCCCCGAAAAGATCAAAATCTGCCATAGATTCCCCAAATATTGGATTTCCCCGTGGGAAACATAAAAAAAAAAAACATCTTCAGCAAATCCAAGTATACAAAGCTGTTTGGCTTTGTAAACCAAGAGTGCTGGACAGCCACATATTGGCGGAATCTCTGCGTGGCCAGGGACCAAACCCAAACGCCACCAATGACACCCCTGGCGCAGGAAAATCATACGAGACTTTTCCAGAATGTCGCGTTGCGATGCATAGTAATGTGGTAAACCCAATAATAAACAATCCCCAACATTACCATAAAAGCGTGGTATATGTGGTATAAACCATCGCCAAATTGTAGGAATATCATTGGGTTTACATGGGTTTACCACATTCCAGATGCTTCAGAGTTGCTGAGATCGAAAGTCGTAACGATGGGGCCTGGTGTGGAGTTGCTCTATCACAGGACGCTCAGTCTCTTCCGCCTCCAGAACACCGGGTCCATATATGCATGTATATATCCACAGGTGTGTATGTATCAACTTTTTCGATTATGATCCATAATAATTAGAATATCATAGATGCATACACACCTGTAATTATGATTAGCACATGAAATGTATCATGATCTATCCCAGTCTTGACCCTGGCAGGTGAGTGTTTTGCCCATGCCTCTGGCAAATGGATAGCACCTCGCCGAGGCATCACGAAAAACCTAACCGCTGGCCCTTCAATCAAAGTCTCGCCCGGCTGAGGGCAGAGCAGGCGGGTTTCAAGACAACACCAAAGCTTTCCCTGGGCTTGCGGAGGTGAGAAAGGTCATGGGAACTTAACTTGGGATGGTTATATCATATATATATATTATATATATATACATGCATACTATATAATCACATGAAAATCATGTGTTTTTGCTACACTGGCTAAATATACACTAGGAAGACAAGGAAGATAAGGGCACTTCTTCCTGATCCTTCAAGATCAGTCAAAACAGGTGAAAGTGTCCCTGATTCCACGTAGAATCGCCGGGGCAGCCACTTTTGAATGTTGTAGACCAGAATCTTTGGAGTGGTCACTCCGCCAGCCTCGCAGTTCTCCCAATAAAAACATCCATTAACTATGTACAAATGCTTGGTAAACAGCTATCCCTTGAAGTATGGCCTAGAAATGTTCCCGAATCAACTACGTAGGTCGTAGGTTGATACCTTATCCCCATCCTATTCACCTATTCCCAACCAGGTTTTTTTCGGAACGCTCATCTCAACCGAGCTTTGGCTCAGCATCCGACGAAGAGCTTCATTTGTGGCACTGGCAAAGCTGGAGGGTCGATGCCTCACGGGAAGTCAGGGGGGGTAGCTGGTGCTCCACACCAAATACCTAGCCCAACTGACCATTTTAGTAGGGAAAAATGTCTGATAAAAACACATAAAAAGAATGGGGTATAGACACTACCCTCTGGTAAACTAACATAACTATGGAAAATCACCATGTTTAATGGGAAAATCCACTATAAATAGCGATTTTCAATAGCTATGTTAAATTACCAGAGGGTAGGTTCAAGACCACAGGAAACATTCAGACAGATCCGTCCGCACTGCCTGGTCCGGCAAAAACATCCTGAGAGTTTCTCAGGGCTTGGCTGCGGAATTTTTGTGTGGTTGATGGCTCTGTCTCAAAATGAGGATACCGGGATACCCCTAAATAAGCATGTTCATGGGAAAATATAGGGAAATGTTTGGGGAAAATGATGGTTCGCCATTTTTGTTCCCCAAATTTCAACGCCATTTTTGGCCCAACTCCAACTGCTGCTCTCCATGTCATGTGAACTCTGGCTGCCGGCTCTCCTGGTAGGCTGTTTCCGAGCAAATGGACACGCAGGTCACTGGCTCAAGTTGCGGAAAGGGATGGGCGTGGGCCACCACCTGGCCGTGCAGGCGAAACGTGGCGAAACATGGCGATGGTCACAACACTGGGCGGATTGGGTCATTATGGTCATCCAACCTTGGGAATTGCTGATCATACCCTCTGGTTATGTCAAAATAGCTATTGAAAATGGCCATTGATAGTGAGTTTTCCCATTAAAAATGGTGATTTTCCATAGCTATGTAAACGTTTACCAGAGGGTAATTCACGTACTGACAGTGATACTGTGGATGCTGGCGAAATCCTGCCGATAGATGGTCAACATCCCATTATCGAAGGTGGTGACGCGGCATCAGTCCCAGCCTCCCCCTTCCGGCTGTCGACCAGAAGCGCTTCCCCTTCGCTGGTGCCTAAGGCCATCCTGTGCCATGCGAGAACAGCATGATGAAATGCTGGGAATATAGCCATGTTATCCCATGTTTTCACCCATGTTTCAGGGAATATCCCCACAAAATATGGCCTGAAATATGGTACTAACGTACCTCCATAAATTGGATCCTGGAGATCTCCCATTGATTTTCACATCATTTCACATCACAAAGTGAGTCCAGAATCATCAGCATTCATCAGCCTTTACAGGTGATATTCCCAGCTATAAACACCTCCATTGATGGCCGGGTCACCGGCAAGTTACCCGTCCCCCAGTTTGATGACACACCTGGCAGTCCCTCGGGGTTCCACAAAGGCACATGCTATCCGTCCAGGCACCTCAGTGGAGGTGTAAAAATGCATCATGACTTTGACATACTGTGGGACCTTGACGAATCTTTGACCAAAAAAAGTGTCAAGAAAATGCTTGCTATGGAGAGTTTGTGATATATGATATATCTAATATATTCTAATATTGTGGGACTATATAGTAATATAGTATTATATTGTGTCAAAAAATTGTTTGCTATGGATGGCTTGTGATATGATATATCTAATACAAGTATTCTACAGTACAATGTGTTGTACCAAGAACAAACAGTTTCTGTCGGTGACGGGAGTCATTTTGAGCCACCAAGTTTAAGCAGAATCTGCATCTGCCAGGCCTGCACGAAAAAGGATGCACGTGCCTGGCCAAAAGGCCAAAATTGGAGCGATGTCTGTATTGATGTCCTGGATGAACAAAATTGAATAAACCTCCGAGTTGTTTTTCTAGAAATTTGCAGGATATTTTCAGACATTTTCAGTCCTTCAAGTGGTCCATTTTCAACAAACAAATGACTTTAGAATAGGCCCCGAATCAACCAGGAATCAACCAGGATCACCTCTGGCAACGCGAACTCGTATTCCGGACACCTGACCGGTTGACGCCACGTGTTCACCACCATGAAAAAACACCACTGGGTCGCCACGTGAACTCTACCACCATGTTGCTGGTTGTGTCCTCCATGTTGAGGAAGTGTAAAAAAAAAATGCAAAATGTGTGACACCATCTTGGTTGTTTGTATCCAATGCATTGTAAGATGTAAGGTGTCGTAAAATGGTGTGCTTTACAGATCTTTACAGTGCTCCTTTTTTGCTGACCTCCATGTTCTGATCTATAAGGTTTGGAAGGCTAGTATATCCGGCCCAAATATCATCATCATATATACCGGGAAAAAAACACGGTTCTTGCAAGTGTTGTCTGTTGGTTATAATTTTACCCCATTGATTTGACTAGCCACTTTTTTTGATGTATAGGTTTGTCTGAACGGGGTATACCGGTATACCCCTCAAATGCCCAAAATTGTTAGGTACTAATTTAATAATATCTAATAAGTAATCAGTGGATGGAACACGGTTTTCCCCTGTGTTCCCAGGATGTTACCAAGCCCATATCTTGCCGATGCAAAAAGGAAACACCGAGGGCCCCGAGGGGGCCTTTTCTTCTTTTCAATGAGGTCGACCTGGTCGCCCACCGCTTCTAAGATCTCCTCTATCACCTTTCAACAGGACACCCTGCGATTGACACCTCAAAATGCTTGGGTCCTGGATTTAATCGGAAATAGGGGCCGTAATGGGGCTATTTCTATGGCTAATCCATGGTAATGTCATATCCGTAAGTTGCGGTGCCGGGTACCCGGAGAATTGTGGCCAATTGTGGCCACACTATTTTGGACCATCTGATGGATCTATTGCATCAGATTTTTCGCAACCGCTTGGTATCCTATGGTATCCTGGTGCCGGTGCCTCATCGATAATGGAAAAGGGCAGTGGAAGAGGATCCACCGCATTGTCTGGATTCACCTGCCGCGGAGAGAAAACCAGGCTTTTTCGAGAGTTCTCCATAAATGGGTGAGATGGTTCACCCCTACAAAAAACCATATTTAACCATGATAAAGTGATGTTCAGCCGAAAATCCCCCAAACTCCGTAACTCCGCTGCCTTCTCCCAGTTGACCATCCCTGGCAGGATCGGCTCGAAGGCATTCCAGGGGTATTGATGATGGATGAACCAAAAAATGGAGCTGGATAAACCCACCCGTTTCTGGCAAGCGATTTACTGGTGGCTTATTGGGTTTTCCACATTTCAGTCACGGCTGTATTCACGGCTGTTTCCACAAGAACTTGGCTTGGAATCGCCCAGGGCTGCCACCTCTCTTGGGCCTGCCTTTTGGCAGGCCACACACCCAACATCTGGGCCAAATGGCAGCGAAAAAACAACTTCCAACAGCGTCGCGGCTGCTTGGCGACTGCAGCTGTTCTGACTGCCTCACTCATCACACGTTGCTGAACGAGATTGCCTTCTTTGAAAACACGTCGATCGTCTTCATGCCAAGAGCAACTTTGGCTCTCAACTCATTCTACGAAGCAGGACTGAATATGTTGGATGGAAGTAGAGATAGTCACCTGAAAAGCTCCGCCCACCACTCTGAGTCTCAATGGCACAACCAGTCTGCCAGTCTGCCATATCTTGGGAAATCCGAATCCTTGCCTGGTTTTGGACCAATTTCAAATAAGTTTCTTCTGAAGAGAGCTGCGTCCTAGGTGGCCCATCATTCGGATGTTCCAGTTGCATGCAGATTTAGCTGGCTGGGTGGAGAGATCTACTGCATGGCTTCAATGATTTGCCTTGTAAAGAGAGGTCGATTATCCACTGCCAGGGTCAAAAAAACCACTTGGAGGATCATCCAACTTGATAACTGGATAGTAATGGATAGTAAGTGTGGTTATAAAAGTTATAACCATCTATATACAGGACAACTAGGACAACCCCACTCAGGGGACTTACTAACAGAGTTATTTTTCGGCTCATTTTTTATCAGTTACGATTCGTGGGATGATCCTCAAAGCAGAGGCTTTCCAATTGCCCAGCGTCTGCCATGAAGTCCAACGACACGGGTATGCCACCGACCTCGGGATGGCTGCCACCCAAATTCCATGGGTGAAACACGGTGGTTTCACCATCCAAAAAACGGCGCTAATTGCGGATGTAGAATGATGATGAATGATGCCTAAAATTTCAGGACATGCAGTAAAAAAAGTCCGTTTTTAGTCGTTCGGATTCCAAGTGCCTCACTTGAGCCAAGGAGATTAAACACCGCTTCCAGTCTCTTCTCCTAAAAAATCTGGGGCTCACAATTTTTGTTGCACATGCTTCAATCAATGGATTGGTTTAAGGGAAAATCTACAGGAAACCATGGTTTTTACCATTAAATATGGGGGGTTCCTGTAAATTTTCCCAAAAACCAATCCATTGGTTCAAGCCGAAAATCCTGGAGCTTAACCTGATGGATCCAGTGTCCTGAAGGGTTCGTTGCCGATGTTAATCGCGCTGCTTGGCACGTTCCCGCCAAACCAGGCCCGTCCACCGGGTCGCAATTTTCGAACCAGCTGCCGGATCAGGTGACCTGCAAAAAGGACATTAGGACTCGATGTTGGGGGAAAAAAAAAACGTGCTGTGCTGCTGACAGGAGTTTATCTATATATATATAATATTATATAATATATTAGATTATATATATATATATTAGATTATATATATATATATTAGATTTTATATATATATACATTAGATTATATATATTAGATTATATATAGTTAGACTGTTGCTCCCCCGTCTTTCTCATCTAACCGCCCACATTATTATACAAGCAAATTCTATGGGGTTAATACCAAAGACAGGGGAGCAACACCTTATAGAAAACAATAACATAAATCAGAACAACAAACAACAAAAAGAAAAAACAAAACAACATAAGCAATACAATAGATTATAAAATAGATTATACCAAAAACCATAACAACAAACCAAAACAAAAGACAATTTCACGTTTTAAAACGAAATTTAACTATCATTCTTCTTCAAATTCTCCTCATGCTTCAAAGCGTTTGTGTGCCTCTTGTAATTTTGAGTTTGAATTTCATAATCATCACTTCAAATTTATGGGGATAACCAACATAATTTTCATAATCATTTACTATGAAGATTATGGGATTAATTACCACAGTCTGCCCCTACAGGGGAACCCTCAACCCCCAGCCAATATACTATCCCACCCCCCAGCATACATACCAGCATACATACAAACTAGCATATCACAACAGCATCACATCTTTCTCAACCCCAAATCTCTCTTAATCCGCAATTGCCATGCCCAAACCACCCTTCATGAACTTGTTGATGACCATGTCTTCTTAACCTCAGCGCGATGTAAATGGCACAGCAATCCAAACTTTGGGGCGAAATGGAGTGAAAAGGATTATGTGTGTCCATACTTGTTGGAGCCAGTCTTCAAGTATCTGGGTGTTCGCCTTTTTATCAGGCATGAATGCCCTGGATGTCAAGTTTGTGAAGGGTCACTGGCATGCATGCTCTAAAAGAAACATGCAGACCTCTTCAATCGTAAAAAGATCTCTTCAAAGCCCGGTTTTGCGAGTCGCGCTGGTGGCGAAGCACTGTTTTCTCACCCACTTTCTTCGTCACCAAAATTGACGAGCGAAAAAATGGGGTGAAAAAGGAGGGATGCCTATCTGTCACAACATCCGAGTGATGCCTAACGGCGGCAACACTGAGCACAAGTCGTAGGACAACCTGTACAACAATCAGGGCGCCGCAGATTCTCCGTCTGGTTCATGCCTGATATGCCTTTGCTCTTGCCCATTTTTTGCAAGGCATCTGCAAGGCCTGTGCTGTTGTTGTCTACAGCTCCAGCGCTCAATGCAAATATGATGAGGCAAGCGTACAAACGGATTTGCGCCATGAACATGCCGACACCAAGCTAAAAAGCGCACCCGAGTGGTTTGAGCAAAAGATGCTGAAAAATGACACAAAATTCCAAGCTCAAACTGAAAGAGCTAATTTCTGTAGCTTTCCAATTGAGAATGTCAAAAATGCTCAAAATGAAACAACTTCCAAGGTCAAGCTCTCCAAGAACATGTGGCTTCAAACCTCGGACTGGCATATTCCCAACAGCTGAGCGCCCCGACAACAGGATGCAGAAGAGATTGATGACAAAGCCAAGGCGAGGAAGGGCAAAGGAACATGGAGCAATCCCAGCCAATGACCCAGTCACAAATTCATGGGGAAAACAAATGAAGGGCAAAACACAAAACCACGAAACCAAAGAGCACATCAAATCAACCATATCATGGTTGCATCATGGCTTTCTAAAAACACTAAATCTTTAAAAGTTCATGCCTCATCACCAATCTTGGGTAATCAGTTAATTTGTAATATTGTTGGTTCAACTTTTCTGCAATCTCTTGCACAACATAATAACCATTCAGCCAGTGGGAAGTTCTTTCTTTCTCTGTAATTGCTTTCTTTCTCATTATCTTTACTTTGTCTCCCACCTCTAATGTTGGGTATATTCTTTCTTTCTTTGCCTTTGATGCTACATTAATCATTGCCCTATATTCATGTTTCTCTTTCCTTGCTTGATTAGGTGTCATACCTGTAGCGGAGTGCTTCATCTTATCATTGTATGTCAGCATAATTTCTAAATTGTAATCAACCCATTGTATGTTTGCCTTACCCTTTTTTTCATCAGCCTCTACTCTTTTAAAAAGCATATCTTTGTATGTGCGTATAAATCTTTCAGCAAATGCTGGGTGTCCTCTAGTCCTATGTAAGGTTATACCTTCACCTTCCACATCATCCTTAAAGTCTTCACCTGCTATTGCTCTCTCATCATCTGTATAAATCATTTTAGGCTTCTTACCCATTTTCCCTAATGCCTCTTTAGTTGCTTCAAGGACATCCTCCCCATTTTTAGTTTTGATTTGAACAACAACGGCATACTTGCTCAAAACATCAATACACACTAACGCTCCTCTGAACTTTTGTTCCTCATCAAAATCATAATACCCCATAAAGAACAAATCTATCTGATAAGTATGATTATTTTTTGGTGCTGTGAAGGAATTATACCCTCTTTGCTTTGCTTTTATTTCAACATTTTTTCTAAAGAATTGCCTTACATCATCCATAGTAATGCTACTATCTTTCTTCTTGCTGTCTTCAAGGGTTGTTTTTAAAGAACCAAACCCAGCCTTATCAAAATATATATCATTGATTATTTTTTGCTTCTTACTATCAGTCATTATAGAATAGATGATATAATAAGTAAATATCATATCATTTATTCTTCTTTTTGTTGCTTCAGCCCGTCTTGGTGCTTTTTTGTCTTGATGTGGTGCCACCTATTTTGAAGTTGAAAAGAACTACCGCAATCACAATCAACTATTGACATCAACTTGTCTCTGTTTTTATGATAGTTGTTTCTTCCTCTTTCATTGGCATTGTCTTTATTTTTGATATGCCATTCTTTGTTCCACTTGGCGCACTTTTCTTTGTTGTCTTTGTAATATTCTTGCAGTGTTCTTCCTGCCACTTCTTTATTGACACAAGCATTGTTTTTGATGTAATAGCCTTCTCTTTGTAATAGTTCAATCTTGGATTGGGTCGGGAACAGTTCTACCAGTTCTATTTTACAGTTTTCTACTCCGAATTCATCAAATAACTGACAAATTGAATGTTTATATGAACACTTGCCGTCTAAAAAGGTTTTATAGACACCTTTATGTCTCCAAAATATTTTGCTCAATTCTTCACAAGTGCTTCCGTAGTAGCACTTTGTGTAAGCAACATCTGTAATTAAATATATTTTCCTTTTTCATACTTATTGTTCTCCATATATCCTAAACATACCATCTCTTTAAAACCATTTTACATTGATATTTTATTTGAAAAAGCGCAATTACATTGAACACACAGTGGAATACAGTTGCTTTTATAATGTGCCAGTTCATTATTTAATCTTTGGCAACTAATATTTGATGAAACCTTGCCATCTTCAAAATCAATAACCAATGGTTCATTACAATTTTCACACTGGGTATTCATCATATCCATCAGGAAATCCACATCAACATACTCATCATCATCTATGGGTCTGTTGCTTTTCTTATCTTGCTCAATATAGTTCAATACTTTATTTTTGAAATATGTTTCTACTCTTAATCTGCTCATATCATTTTCATCCACATCATATTTATGAAACTTAACTCTATTCAAATCTCTTGCCCTGCTGACCGAAGTCCAATACCAGTTCTTGCTACAATACCATTTGCTCCAGTCATATATCACAATGTCATCATCTACACTACAACCTTGTTTTGAATGTGGCGTGTAGCAGTAAGCATATATGAAATGCTTTCTCAACACTTTCATTTCTATATTTTGCTTCACATCAGTTGCCACATTTTCTAAAACAACAATATCGCCAACGATATTTGAAATCCTAAATTTGAAATTCACATTAAATTGTGTGCCTTTAGTTTTAATATACTTCCGGCATATTACATATTCACCAATCACATATTCATCTTCTATGCCTTTCATCTTTCTCATTTTGCTACTCACCTCCCTCCAAGTCTTGTTTGTATAAGCAATGTTGTTTTCACATATCTCATTGCCATCACTCCATCCAAAGTATTTTTCAATGACATTAAGGACTGGCTCATTGTTAAAAATCAATCTCTTAATATCATAAAGTTTCTTTCTGTCTTCTTCAGTCTTCAACTTCTTACATTCATAAAGCATAATATTATTTTCAAAAATCTAGTCTATACAACGGTCGGCATACTTCCCAAAAGAAACAACATTGCTTACCCTCTCTGGGTTTTTTAATTGTTTTGTGTCCCCTGTTGCTAATATAATCTTATCAGGATTGGTTTTACAAAAGTTCCAGATGAGAGCCCACTTGCTTACATTGTGAAAGTATATCTCATCAAACACTATGACATCAACATCAGAATAATCAAACTTCTCAAGCCTCTCATCACCATAAGATATTCCAAAAAACTTGTTTATTGCCATTGCTTCTGCTCCACACTCTTGTTTCAAATTATTAGTAGGCACAACAAACAAGACTTTATAATTTCTCACCTGTAAATGCTGACATATAAAACTCTTACCTGTTCCCGGCACATCACCTCTAATCATCAACCTCCTATTAGTCATCTCCTATTAGTCATAATATGCTCATCTATGATTTCATCAGTGTTCCATTCATCCTTGACTTTACCGGTGTCATTTTCATACTCAGTAATGTTACATAATACACTGGGTTGTTTGCTAAATGCCTTGCTGGGAAAATTGAATTTATCAGACCACCTCCAATAACCAATCTCACTGCCAAACTTCAACACCTCCCTTGCTTTTGCTAAATTACATTTATCTATAACAAAGGCACCAGTTTTTACTGAATACACCATTACATCATCCCTCATAAGTGTTTCATAAGCCTCATTCATATCAAAATTATGATGTTGTAAAATCAGTTCTTTGATAAACCTATATCCATTCATCAAAGTTTTTGTATCGGAAATGTTTAAAACATAATGC